GACCTTGGAAATGGGGGAAATGCGTATTAAGGGATATATCTGATATCAAATAAATATGAAATAAACAATCAATATATAACGATTTGAGCCGCTCCTTTTAAAAATGTTGATCGTTAACATGAGACTCCAAGTCTCATAGCCCATTTGGCAGATCTTTTGAAAAGTCAAAAGTTACTTCTAAAACTAAAAAGTTGTTTTTGAATATATATATATATATATATATATGATTAATTATCTGAAAGTAATTTATCTGACTATGAAAACTTTTACGGGAAGTTTGGTTGAAGCTAACTTTTTAGGAAGTTTTTTATAAGAAGAAAAAATAAAACACGGAAGTCCTGTCAAATGAATCTTTAGTATATTCTGCGGAATTTTTTTATTCACTTCCTGTCAAAAGATGAGCAGACCATTTCCGTATTCTTTGACCCCTTGATCTCGCTTTATCTCCTAATTTACTTTATTTATAATTACTTTTAAAAGATTATAGGCTAGCTAGGATTTGTTAGCAATCTTAGCGTTCTTTCGGTCCCATGTAAATATATTTTAAAGTTCAATATGATCGCTTTTGTTATAAAATATACATGAATATGATAGATTAAACTTAACCAGTATTGAATAACACTGTATATATGCATTGTTCAATGCCATGTTGTTGTGTGGGTACGTATTGAACATTTGTTTAATTACATTTGTCTACAAGGAGATGCTAAGTCACGGCTAGAGTTGAGCACTTTGGACCACACTATGTTTTAACAATGTTAATAGCTTGATGACAGGGTAACTATGACATTGAAAATTGAAGCAAAATTCACATTTTCGTCTGGTCATGCAATGTTTGTCCTGGGAAAGCATAGGGGAGGACACCATGCCCATAATGGAGGAAGTTACTAAGAAATGTAATGTCATTTTGGTCATAGAATTGAGAAAACCATGAAGAAATTAGTAAAGTTGATGATTAAAATACTCGTAAAGAGATGAACTTGACGTGATCGTCACACAAATAATTTTGAGTCGAATTTAAATAATTACGCGGACCTTTTTTCATTACTGGTTAGTTTTATTGGACGAATGGTTACCGATATGATGTGTCTGAGGTTAAGGTATCAAGTATGTTATTTTTCAACTATAGTCGAGAATGTGCCACGTAGTAATAAGACAATACTTCACCTTCTTTTCCATAGAGCATACGATTTGACTTGTCCATCATAGACAAGTCGAACAATTGATCTTTCCATAGTAGTTTCACGAATGGAATAAGATGAATTTTGTTAATTATGAACATATGTTATCTTCGGTTGATTATGATTTTGGGAGCGAATCTGCTGATGAGTTTTGTCCTTCTATGCTTCTCCCTATTCTCAGAGGGCAAGGATATGATATTCTGAAGACACCATCACATTATTCTCAAGTAAGAGTTTGTCGCTCTCAGCAGGCTTCTTCATTGACTTATCTCATCTTCGAAATGCGAAAGTTTGTAATTCTCATTTAATTATGTTTAGATTCTCGATTTTACAAAATGGAACATTTGACTCGTGTAGGAATGAAAAAAAAAAATCCGCTAAATCCGATACCTATGGAACCCATCCCAAACATGTCGGATATTACATGCCTAATAGGGTAAACATGGTAGGCGTAGGGCAGGGGTCGTTGCCCCGAAGTGGGTACGAGGAGGGTATGGGAAACATGTTCTTTGCGCCCGCTACTCGCATCGTTTAAAGTTTAATTTTAATTTTTTAATCAAGCAAAAAGGAAATAATTATCATCCATTTTAAAAGGAGTATAGATTGTTCTTAATAAATTGAAAAAAAAAAAAAAAAGTAATAATTTTTACAAACTAAAGACATAAAAAAAAAAAAATTGAGCGGTAAATGGAACAGGAGTCCTGTCCAGCCTTAATCGAGTATGAGGACGGGATAATGTGAATAAAATATCCAACAGGACACTGGATGAGAATTGCCGACCCACCCCGACATGTCTCGTTGCTATCCCTAGACTCATGATTTCACCCAACCTTACGATTTTTATCTTTTTGACTTCCAATAGTGGACATGAATTTATTAATTTTAATGTCCTTTTTATATATATATATATATATATGTGTATATATATATATATATATATATATGTAATTTAATACGACCCAAAATTCTAAAGAAATACGTAATACAACCTACTGGAACTGTGATCTTAGACAATTGCATTCTACGAGATCTCATGTTTTGAAAACATTGCAATATTGCCCCATTCTGAATTTTTCCAAAAATCTCTTTCTCCATGTAAACCACCAAATTGTCATTCAACCAATCTTCTCCCTTTTTATTGCGCAAGTCACTCTTGATNTGTACACCACCAAATTGTCATTCAACAAGTCGTCTCCCATTCTCAAATCACAAATCAAAATTATAATCATAACTCATAGTCACGATAATATAATATAAAATCACATTTCTCATAATTTATAAATCACAAATTCACAAATCAGATTCACAGTCTACGTATATTAATTATTCTCAAATTCACAAATTCAGCAACAAAATCCACCTTAACATGGTCAACAAAATCCGGCTTAACTTGGCCATCAACAAATTCACAAATTCAACAACAAAATCCCCAATATTCCTAGTTTCTCGAATTCAAAGTTTTAAATTCACAAAATTCATTATCCCCACATCATAGTAAACAACTAAACACTACAGGCTTTGCTTCTTAGGCTCACAATTCACAAACTGATAATGAAGGAACAAAAAAAATAATAATAAAAATAAAGCAAGCAGCAAACTCACCCGTGAACGATCGAGGCACGTGTCAGTTAGCATGTAGCACCGTAGGAGCGAAGTGAACGACGGAAAAAAAGCAGTTGGATCGGACGCACAACAGTAGCTAGCAGGTCACCCCGGTCGTCTCCCTCTCTACCGTTTGGCTTTGGCGATTTGGATGAAATTTGAGATTTAGGGATTTGGATTTTATTTTATTTGGTTTAGATTTACAATTTGCAAATTGGCCCAATTAATTGTGCCTTATTGTTTTAAGAAAGGCCCAAAAACTGGAACAAAAGAAGAAATGGAAAAAAAATGTCAAACTCAGCTGCCTTCTTCACTTCTTCTCAGCGGATGGCGTCGGCACAGTGGCTTCTTCAAGCTTTCGATGGATCCAGCACGGGAGACCACGGGGGCTGGCCAGGTGCTGGGTTCGCCCCTAGATAAATGTCGTAGTTCACTTTATCCTGCAGAGAGATGCAGTGAATGTTAAATTAATTTAGGCAGATAACTACCATATAGATAGATGTAAAATGCATACTTGGATGAAGGATGTGTATGCTAATTAATTTAGATTAGAATTTGTAATAATTAAATACATTAATGAAAATATATGTTAAGTATTGAATATTAAATGTTAATTAATTTAGAATTACTTATAATTATAATTAATAACAGTGAAATACATAAATAAAGACAAAATTAATATTAATAACTTGGGCATACATACATGAAAATGAATGTTAATTTTTCAAGATTACATTGATGATTAAATATTTGACTAGATCATTAATGATAATGTATAAATAAAAAAGTGAAAAGTAAGTATATTATTTAAATAGTTTAAATATAGCCCATGTTTGAGCCCCATTTTTTCAAGAATACATTTTTTTCAAAATTCATTTTTAATCACGCATTTTTCCATAAAATAATTATATACGTATTTCAAAAACTTTTCATTATTTTTTAACCATACATTCTCTACAAAATCACTATTTCATAATGCATTTTACCCCTAAAAATGGAAATCAAACAAGTGCATAGTAAGGATACAGTTATCTGAAAAATGATTCTCGCGCCATATAATTTTTAAATAGATTGTAGATTATAAATATCTTAAACAGAATGAGAAATTTATTAATTACTCTATTTGGAATTTAATGTAGTACGTTTTAAAATAAATAATATAGTAAATTAAAATTAAAATAAATTGCTTATGACACAAAGTCAAAAGTTTCTACAAAAATAAGAAAACATAATAGATATGCTTATTTTACTTATAATCAACTTTTAATTATCTTGCAGAGCCATTTCTACAAACAAGTGCCATTTTCCATAAATCAATTAAGCTATTCTATTTCAATCATGCTGCATGTACATAATCATTCACACAATTTTTTACACCCCCTCATATGGAAGGAGGTCTCACATACAATAAAATATTCGCGTACACTATTCATGCGAGAAACGTATACGTACACCTGATGTACAAACAGCTTTATCCATTCTATATAAGCTCCCATACTTTGAGTTCTGAACATAGTGCCACTCTCACTCACTTCCATTCCTCCTCGTTTGACCACTGGTCGTACTGATTCACTTCTGTTTCTCTTTCGGGCAATCAAACTTCTCTCTATGACTCGGTGAGTCATACTGAACCATAAATAAGTTCTTTAACTCACTGCCATTGGCACACAGTTATTCAAGAAACAATCTTTTTAGAAGTGGGGGTTTGTTGAGAGAAATTCAGAGCTATACGATAAAATGGCTGAGAGCACAGAAGGAATAACATTGCCGGAGACAGAGAAGAAGAAAGAAGAAAGCCTGCCATTTTATCAGCTTTTTTCATTTGCAGATAAATACGATTGGATTCTTATGATCTCTGGCAGTATAGGTGCCATCCTTCATGGGTCTTCCATGCCTGTGTTCTTTCTTTTGTTTGGTGAAATGGTTAACGGTTTTGGTAAAAACCAAATGGATTTGCACAAAATGACTAATGAAGTGTCCAAGGTACTTCACTTTCTTGAATCATTAAATGAAACCCATTTTCTGTATCTTCTATTTTGTGTTATATAACAATCAGATCTGATTGAATTGATTTTTAAAATGAACGCAGTATGCTCTGTACTTCGTATATCTTGGATTGGTGGTGTGTTTCTCTTCATATGCAGGTCAGATTTGTTTGTGTTTTTGTGTTCAAATTGTTCACTTGGGATTAGTCGCACGTGGTCCGTGGACTGTCTTTCCGTCTTCTTCCTCTTGGCCTGTCTTTTTCTCAACTATTTCCTTATTTTGTAATATTATCCCATTACACATCCCTATCATCATTGATACTAATTATTTTTGTAGGATAATTACTTATTTTTTGGATCTAAAATAATTAAACAGAGATTGCATGCTGGATGTATACTGGGGAAAGGCAAGTGGGTGCACTGAGAAAGAAATATTTGGAGGCAGTCTTGAAACAGGATGTTGGATTCTTTGATACAGACGCAAGAACTGGGGATATTGTTTTCAGTGTATCAACAGACACTCTTCTTGTACAAGATGCCATTAGTGAAAAGGTTCTCTCACTGCCATCATGTTTTTCTCTCTCTCACACACCATTTTCATTTAGTGTGTGTGTGTTTTCTGAACGGTAAACGGTGGATTCTAAAGAAGGAAAAAGGGAAATCATTTGAAGTTGTTGGCGGCCATTAATTACTACTTTGTCCTGTTCGATTTCGGTGGTGCATGTTAGCATGCTTCACTTAACCTGCGCCATCATCTTTTTGGTTCCTGAAATAGTAGACCCTGTTAAAGTGATTCCTCTTTAGTTTCTGAGTTTTTTAAGTATAGTTTTATGTTGATTTTTAAGTTCAGTTAGGACTAATGGTGCTAAAGTTCACTGATGAAAGTGTTGTTGGGACTCTTTGGAACCTAACTCAATCAATATCGTATACCAATTCCTCGACTGTGAACGTCGCAAATTTTTGAAATGTATTTTGAGCTCGGGGTATATTGAATATTCATACACAGCATGTCACTCGAATATTCTAGAGAGTCATTTTTGGAGTGAAGAAAACTAAGAAGAAAAGATACAATGAAAATTTGAATAGGGAGTGGATGTAACCCTCATATTGGGTGTAAAGTACTGTAAATCTGCATGCTTTGCTCGTTTTGTATTTCCTTTTTCATTTATTACCACTGTTGGCAGTAGGAATTAATGCCAAAGTTCAAACAACCATCATTTAATGATTGTAAAAAGTGTGTTTTTTTTTTGGGATAAATAGGTGGGGAATTTCATCCATTATCTTTCTACCTTTCTGGCCGGTTTGGTGGTTGGTTTTGTGTCGGCATGGAAGCTGGCTCTACTCAGCGTGGCTGTGATTCCAGGAATTGCCTTTGCTGGGGGTCTGTATGCATATACTCTAACAGGTCTCACCTCCAAGAGCCGTGAATCCTATGCCAATGCTGGCATAATTGCCGATCAGGTGAGCCTGCGATAAAATGGAATGTTTTTAATTTCTTCTCTTTTTCTTTCTATATCCGTTTAATTATGAAAAACTACTTTATTTTGAATATGGAATGAAATTTTATTGATAAATTACGAAATTATGCTGTAATACAGTCTGTTACCTTTCTGGTAGCTATAATTGATAATCCAACTTAAATTTCAAGACGTTTTTGGAAATGCTATGGTGATGTTAGAAAAGAAAGTTGCTATATCATTGACCCTCGTTCGTGCTAAAACTTTTAATGTCAAATGCAGGCTATTGCACAAGTTAGGACAGTCTACTCTTATGTTGGTGAGAGCAAAACCCTGAGTGTGTATTCAGATGCTATACAAAACACGTTGAATCTGGGCTACAAGGCTGGAATGGCTAAAGGTTTGGGATTGGGGTGCACCTATGGAATAGCATGCATGTCGTGGGCTCTTGTTTTCTGGTTTGCTGGTGTATTTATCAGAAATGGACAGACGGATGGTGGCAAGGCATTCACCTCTATTTTCTCTGCCATAGTTGGTGGCATGTAAGATAATGTGCTAAAAATCTTCTGAATTCTAGAGAAAAATGAAGAGAAAAAATTTATGGATTTTGATTTAACTTGTTGCAGGAGTTTGGGCCAATCGTTTTCTAATCTTGGAGCATTCAGCAAAGGCAAAACTGCGGGATACAAGCTAATGGAGATTATCAAGCAAAAGCCCTCCATAGTTCAAGACGCATCAGATGGAAAGTGCCCGACTGACGTCAATGGAAACATTGAGTTCAAAAATGTAACTTTTAGCTATCCTTCTAGACCCGATGTCATCGTCCTTAGAGATTTCTCCATTTTCTTCCCCGCTGGAAAGACTGTTGCCATGGTTGGTGGTAGTGGTTCCGGAAAAAGCACGGTCATCTCCCTGATGGAAAGATTTTACGATCCTAATCAAGGTAATTAATAGACTTACTATTATAAGATGATGAATATTCATGTTAATTCAGTAGTGATTGTACTTAATCTTGTTTGTAAAACGGATAGGACAAATTTTGCTGGACGACATGGACATCAAGATGCTGCAGCTGAGATGGTTACGCTATCAAATTGGTTTGGTGAACCAAGAACCTGCACTCTTTGCTACCACAATACTCGAGAACATTCTATACGGAAAGCCTGGTGCATCCATGGCTGAAGTGGATGCAGCTGCCTCTGCCGCTAATGCTCATTGCTTTATTACATTGCTTCCTAATGGATATAACACTCAGGTTGAATATACTTTGATTAGTAATAATTTATTAGTTCTATCCAAAGAATTACCTGTGTTGATCTTAAAAAATCTCAACTGAAGTCCAGGTGGGACAGCGTGGTGTCCAACTCTCAGGTGGTCAGAAACAGAGAATAGCAATTGCGAGAGCTATGTTGAAGAACCCAAAGGTACTTCTTCTTGACGAAGCAACAAGTGCCCTTGATGCTGGTTCAGAAAGCATCGTTCAGGAGGCCCTAGATCGTCTGATGTTAGGGAGGACAACGATTGTTGTTGCTCATCGTCTCTCGACAATAAGAAATGTGGACTCCATTGCAGTTATGCAGCAGGGGCAAGTTGTTGAAACTGGAACTCATGAAGAACTATTTGTTAAAGCCGGGGCCTATGCATCCTTAATCAGATTCCAGGAAATGGTAGGGAACAGAGATTTTTCAAATCCCTCAACTTGTCGAACGCGCTCATCACGGTTAAGCCACTCGTTGTCGACTAAGTCTCTTAGCCTCCGTTCTGGCAGTTTAAGAAACTTATCGTATTCTTACAGCACGAGTACTGATGGTCATATAGAGATGGTGTCAAATGCTGAAGCTGATAGGAAAAATCCTGCCCCACATGGCTATTTCTGCCGACTTCTTAAATTAAATGCTCCCGAATGGCCTTATTCAGTCATTGGAGCTATAGGGTCTGTTCTCTCTGGATTCATTGGTCCAACATTTGCTATTGTGATGAGCAATATGATCGAGGTGTTCTACTATAAAAATCCAGCTACCATGGAACGAAAAACAAAGGAATATGTTTTTATTTATATTGGAGCGGGTCTTTACGCTGTGGTCGCATATTTGATACAGCACTACTTCTTCAGCATTATGGGAGAGAACCTAACTACAAGGGTGAGGAGGATGATGCTTGCAGGTATAAGGCGTCTTTCATAATATTTCGTCTTTAATGTTTTCACTTCAAGCTCATAAATACATTATTGGGCAATGATAAAGACTCCCTTATAAATAACTGTATCGAGTAATTTCCCTTTCCTCATTTCAGCAATTTTGAGGAATGAAGTTGGCTGGTTTGACGAGGAAGAGAACAATTCAAGCCTTCTTGCAGCCCGTTTATCTACTGATGCCGCCGACGTAAAATCTGCAATAGCCGAAAGGATATCGGTGATATTGCAAAATATGACTTCTCTCCTCACTTCATTTATAGTAGCCTTCATAGTAGAGTGGAGGGTCTCACTTCTTATACTGGTCACATTTCCTCTCCTAGTCCTCGCAAATTTTGCTCAGGTAATGCCCTTAAATCTCTGACGACAATGCCATTTCAGTTATATAATTTTCCAATAAGGAGGGTACTTAGGGCATAGGATCAAAAGAAATTTATTTTATTAGACTGCCAGTTCTCATGATCTTTGTTTGGATCTTGGGATCCAAATTCACCAGTTTCTTGGAACTAGAAAACGAGGGAAATTACAAGTTGACACTGTGGTGCTCTGCACGTGCTTCAATTCTGGTGCACGATTCTTGAAATTCACAAAATGATAACTGAAAAATACAAAATAAGAACTGTATAATACAATAGCTAACAATGCAGAAAAGAAAAATAAAAGATTCTCTTATTGCCCATCTACTTCAGTGAAACCAAGACCTGTTTGTGTTAACTTTACTGCTTGTTTTTCTAGGATAAAGTCTTGCTGTGACACTGCATGAAAGTGCGTATCAGTTCTGTGTCTGATTTTTTTCAAAATCTAGTTAATGCCTGAGAATGGTGGGGTTTGAATATGGAGTACATAGTTGACTGCAAGATTTACTAAAGTGTGTAGTTTACATAAAATCAAATTGAACTAATATATAAACACACAAATATATACGAGCAAAGTATGTGGGAGATGAATATAAGCAAATTTTAACTGCTGTTAAAGAATCATCGTATCTTAAAGCTATAAATAATGTCTAAGCCCACCAAATTGTGGAAAAAGGATGTACATTCAAGTCTGTCACAAGAATCCCAATATTTATTTTTTAATTATCGTAACATTCTTATGAATGGTGAAATTAGTTGTTGCTAGTGTTAACAATTCTGTTACGTTTGAATACACAGCAACTATCTCTTAAAGGGTTTGCTGGAGACACGGCCAAGGCTCATGCAAAAACTAGCATGATTGCAGGGGAGGGAGTAAGCAACATTAGAACTGTTGCGGCATTCAATGCCCAAGAAAAAATCCTCGCATTATTTTGCCATGAACTCCAGGTCCCACAGCTTCGAAGCTTTAGCCGCAGTCAATCCTCAGGTTTCCTTTTTGGCCTATCTCAGCTTGCTCTATATGCATCAGAAGCTCTAATACTCTGGTATGGCGCCCACCTTGTTAACAAAGGCACTTCTACCTTTTCTAAGGTCATTAAGGTATTCGTAGTCCTAGTTATCACTGCCAATTCAGTTGCTGAAACTGTCAGCCTTGCACCCGAAATCATAAGAGGGGGTGAAGCTGTTGGCTCCATATTTTCCCTTCTTGATCGCTCAACAAAAATAGATCCTGATGAAGCTGAAGCGGAGAATGTTGAATCAGTTCGTGGTGAGATTGAACTACGTCATGTTGACTTTGTGTATCCTTCACGACCAGATGTACTTGTGTTCAAGAATCTCAGCCTTAGAATTCGTGCTGGCCAGAGCCAAGCACTAGTTGGGGCCAGCGGATCAGGAAAGAGTTCGGTAATAGCATTAATCGAGAGATTTTATGATCCAATGGCTGGGAAAGTTATGATTGATGGAAAAGATATTAGGAGGTTAAACTTGAAATCTCTCCGGCTCAAAATTGGTTTGGTTCAGCAGGAGCCTGCACTTTTTGCAGCAAGCATTTTCGACAACATTGCTTACGGTAAAGACGGGGCAACTGAAGCAGAAGTAGTTGAAGCAGCACAAGCAGCAAATGTGCACACATTTGTTAGTGGATTACCCGAAGGTTATAAAACCTCGGTAGGTGAAAAGGGAGTGCAGCTCTCCGGTGGACAAAAACAACGCGTTGCAATTGCACGTGCTGTTCTAAAAAATCCATCAATACTTCTACTCGATGAAGCCACAAGCGCCCTTGATGCTGAGTCGGAATGCATGCTACAAGAAGCTCTTGAGAGGTTAATGAGAGGCCGAACCACTGTTCTGGTGGCCCACCGATTGTCTACAATCCGAAGGGTGGATAGCATTGGTGTTGTCCAAGATGGACGCATTGTAGAACAAGGCAGCCATGGCGACCTAATCAGCCGACCAGATGGAGCCTATTCAAGGCTTTTGCAACTTCAGCGTCATTGCTTATGAAAGTCAAATCGTTTAAAAGAAAAAACTCGTACGAGCCCATTAACCATTGTTTTTCATCTCATTATATGATCAATTATGCTACTTGTACAAAGGTGGTTTACAAAAGTGTGTTTGCAAAATGATGTGGCAAGATCTAGATCATTGATTTCAAAAACTGTTTTTTAAATTATTGGCTAAGATGTTGCCAACACGTATTTTGTAACCTAACTTTGTATAAGTAGCATGACTCTTATATGATTATAGTTGTAGATACGGGGATGATATATTAAAATATTAATTGCTTTGTTTCACAAGCCTATCTGTTTAACCCACCTTTACATGGACTTTTTTTTTCCTTGCATGTGCTTTTGCTTATTTTCTTTTCAGTTTCTAGATAGAAACCAATCTTTCTTTAGCTTTTGAGGCCGACATAAACTATTGGATAAGTAACACATCAAGAAGGCATGATTATACTGAAAAGTTCAAGGGATATTGAGATCATAGATGTTTCTGTCTCGCAAACTTAAAGGGCACGTTTATTTTAAATCATATTGTCCACATAATCATCATGATTTTAGTTTCTTTTCTTAAATTTTATTCAGTGCATCTTGTCACGCATGACAAACATGTCGTACAATTTTGTCTAAGAATTGTACAAGTGACACACTGTACACAGTATTGCGATGTTGATATGAACAGTCTAAAGTGTGACCTTGTCTGCCTTCTCCATACATTGATAACCAAGAGTGCGTCAATTGAGATTGCAGAGAAAGTGCCCCACTCTTTTCAAAAGCAACAGAAAATGTTGACAACCTTTTTGTATATTATTAACTACTGGTTCTATCATGTGAGTACTTGCACTTTGATAAAGGAAACTAGGTTTTGCGGTGTGTGAAAG